AGCCAGGGATGGAGCACATTAGCAGTCCTGTACACAACAAAACTGCTCGGTGCTCCTCTGCAAAGCCAGATGTTCAGGCCCAGCTTACGGAGATGCTCCTCTCACCACACATGGTATGCAGCCAACTTGGCTGCCTGCAGGCAGGGGGAAAGCCAAGGCACATCACTTCCACCCTGACAAACCTGGAATCCTCAGGCCCTCGGCAGAGGTGAGACAGAACCAGGCCAATGCTACACAAAACCTCTCCAGTTTTAATTAGTGGGTTAAACCCATAAGCCAATACCTTCCACGTGGCTGACTGGTAAAGGAAGGAATGAGATGGATGGGCAACGTGGGCGCAGGCACCACAGCGGAGCATGGCTTTCCCAGCCTTTGCTGCTCTCTGGGTTGCAGAGAAGCTTTTGAGATGCAAAGGGAGGAAGTAATTCGTGATGTGTCTTATGCTGCATGAGCAGGGGACTTGTGACCCGTTCCTCCTGGAGGGTGCTACCAAGGTGAGAAAGGAGATGACAAAGGGACCTAAAGAAGGGGGAGAGGCGGTCCCGGTTTGGAGGTAAAGGCAGGGCAGAGCACGCTTGCTTTCCCAGCTCAACACAAACACCCTGTAAGCAGGAAGGGGAGCGGTAACGACACAAAGCCCCTAACCTCGAGAAACTGCCTCAGCAGGGGAGGCTTTAACCCCGGGGATGCTCACAGCCATGCCCTCACCCTCCCACTGCAGCAGTTCCCTGCCCGAGGCACCTCAGTGGGAGCAGGAGGGACCCGCGGTGCAGGAGCTCCTGCATCCCAGAAGACCCAATGCTGAGGTTGGTTCAGTCTCCAAATCCATCCCCAGCTTGCTCCTCATTGAAAAGGCCTCAAAATAATCAAATTCAACCCCAAAAGCAGGACTAACAGAGGGCTTGGGGGGGAAGGGGAGCACGAGCCACCCTTCAGAGCCACTCGGTATCAACATCTTACAGCCCCTGCCTTTCCTTGCACACAACCAGCAGCTTTCCTCCACCTCCACAGGCCGACCTCACTTCACTGAACGCAAGACCACAAGCAGGGCTCTGCAGAGGGGGATTTTCCTCCCCTCTCTATAAAACCAACATCTGCTCCAAATTTCCAGCTCGCTCTCGAAGCAAGCTCTGGGCTTTCTGACGTGTTTCAAGGCAAACGGCTCAGTGAGGCGCTGGCCCATGCCCCCTGCACGGGGCTCCGAGTGCTCACGGTGAAAGGAGTAAAAACACATAGCACAGCACAGGAAGTTAAGAAAAAGAGGCCCAAAAGACGCGAGGGATCGGTGCTGCTTTGCTCTGGGTGAGCAACAGAAAGAATGGAAAACTATGAGAGCTCTTGCCATGGTAAGAGCTGGGCCCTGTGCAGAGGGATCAGCAAGAAGCCATCACTGGTGACTGGAGGTGGCTGAAACCCTTTGGATGAAAACGATGTTAACTGGGGAAAAAGGTCATTTTTTTTGCACAAAGCAGGATTGCATTTGGCACAGTGTCAGTTCAGCAGGAGGCGGTGAGGAGGTGACCACCTCCCAAAGCAAAAAGCTTCTTTGCCCCTTCCTCTCCACTGGTTCTGAGCCACGGCTGCTGGAAAGAGCTGAAGAGGTTAACAAAGAGCAGGAGATGGGTCCTCTCCAAGGGAGAGGGTCTTCACTGGGAGCCCACTGCACCACGGGCACAGAGGATGCAGGTTTGCATGGACCCTCCTCCTGCCTCCTCCTCTCCACTGGTGGGGTGCCCTGATGCCTGCTTCTGCTCTGCCCCCCCGTAAGCTCCAGGTCAGCAGCCACCAGAAAGCCAAGCACCACCAAAACACAGCTTTTCATGAAGGTGAAGGCAGACAACGGCCATTGCAACCAACAGGCTGCCCAGAGAGGTGGGGGATGCCCCATCCCTGCAGCCATTCCAGGCCAGGCTGGATGTGGTTCTGGGCTCTCTGATCTAGTTGAAGGTGTCCCTGTGCTCACTGCAGGGGGTTGGAGCTGGATGAACTTTGAAGGTCCCTTCCAACCCAAACCAGTCTGGGATTCTATGAACCACCCAGAGTTCAGGAGAGATCACAAGTACTGCAGACAAGCACTCACAGACCTATGGAGGCAGCAGCTCCTCCCAGCAGGGTCAATAACAGAGCCAGGTCCCACAGCACTGCCCCTGGGACAAACACATATCTCCATCTGCAAACCCACCAGGTGCAGAGAAAGGAGCACAGACCCCCCCATGCTGTGGTGTTCGTGGAGAGAGGCACCTCTCTAAGACATGGCCATCAACACAGGCTTGCCCGAGTCAGAGACCTCCACATGTGATGTATTGTGGATACACGCCCCTTCCGAAGTGCCTAAAACCCCAGGATCATTCCTACCTGGACAATTAACTTGTGTCCAGGGCGGGCTGAAGCTCCTTGCTGGCCCGCATGTCTCAAGAAATATTATGCCTTATCCCTTGCAGTGTTCAAGGGCAGGTTGGACACAGGGGCTTGGAGCAAGCTGCTCTAGTGGAAGGGGTCCCTGCCCATGGCAGGGGTTGGAGCTGGATGAGCTTTAAGGTCCCTTCAACCCAAACCAGGCTGGATTCTGTGAAACACAAGAACATTCATTACTGACCATGAGCACAGCAATCTTTGCTCTGTAGGACACTGCCTGGTGGGGATGCCACTGCAGGTGAGGGAACATCTCCCCTCCTGGCTGCTCTCCCCTGCTCGTGCCCTCACTCACATTGCCAGTCAGGGCCTGACCAGAACCACATCCACAAGCAAACCGCACTCTGCCCCAGCCTCCTGCTCCCCACACCAGTGGGGTTTGTCTGCATGGGGAGACCTGCATCGGTCGCTGCTCGTGGCTAAAACTACCACTAGTCAACTCCAGATGACTTCTGCCTGGTTCCCCCCCATCCACGTGAAGCCTGGTCTTGCAGGAGGACGTGAGCAGGAGGGGGTACATCAGTGTATCTGCCACGGGAGCTGGAGCCGTCGCACACCTGCGCTTTCCCAGGCATCCTTTTTCCGCACATCCCGACAAAACTCGGGCAGTTGGCCAAGAACCCGGATCCTGCTGGCCATTGACGGCGTGGCTTTGCCTTGCCTGCCCAGACACAGTCACCATCTGTGTGCATAAGCCAGCATTCCCACCTGGAGCTCCCATCCTGCTGCCCAGGAAGCACTAAAGCAAAGCCCTACCTCTCAGCCCTGTGAAGGAAATGGGTAAGAGGACGGGTGCTGCTCAGGGTGACAGCAGAGGAGGGGACCGAGGACAGGGCGAGATGCTCAGGAGCAGAGAGGAGGCCATAGGGAAAGCACCCAGCCCCACAGAGGTGGGGCTGAAGATGCAGCAGGCCTGCAGGCTCCTGCCCTGTTTCCACCTCGGCTCTCAGGGGGCTGTGGAACACCACGTGTGGCAGGAACGTGCTGGGAGCCCAGACCCACGGCCACCAGCCCGAGGCCTCACTGCAGCACCGCAGGGGAGCCCCAAGTCATTTTCACTGTCACATCTAAAGGAACACGAGGGAGGCAGCTGCCCCGCGTTGCCCAGCTCCTGGTTTCCCTTTGCTAGAAACCTGTGGATCCTATTCCCGGTCCTGGGACCTCTCTGTTGTTACAGATCTACAGAGCACGAGTCCTGGCGGCCACGTTATCATCGCTGTTACCACCGTGGTTTGGTGCAGAAGTTAAAGTTCTCTCATCGTCCCCGAAGTTACGGTCCCAGCTTCACAAGGACAGCAGCACAAAGCTTAGGTCTGTCCATGGGAGCAGTCACCCATGAGGACATCAGTGGGGACCTCTGTCCTACTACGGGCCCATGTGGTCTCTGCAGACGCTGCCAGAAACCAGCGCCTGTCCAGCAGAACAAACGGGTGCTCTGCCTTAGTTTGAGAACATCTTAAACCCAGGGACCACGAGCACAGCATCTCCTTCCTCTCCCACTGACTCAATGCTCAGGAAAGCCATGGGGCAGCTCCACATCCTGGGGATGCTGAAGGAGCCCAAGGCTGCAAGATCTGCCTGGAGACTCCAAGGGTCTCAAGGCAAGCCGAAGCCCCAAACCAGAAGCACCAGCACTTTGCGGTCCTGCCATGGACACAAACATCTTCTCCATCTCCTTTCTTCTCCTGAGCACCCCTACCACCATCCAACCTTTCCACTCTGAGCCAGCAGCACAACAGCTCCTCCATGGCCCCAGCCACATCCCTCAACGTGGGGAAGGGCAGTGCCAAGGCCAGCACCAGGACTTGCATCACCTCTCATCACCTTTGTTTGTGCCCTCCTCCTCGCCTCCAGCATCGAGCAGGGCCCCTGTCCCGTGCACGCTGATGAGGAGCAGCAGTGACCTGGAAGCCAGCGCAAGGTTTGGAGTTTCCCGGCCGGGGCCTCCCGCGCTCTCCCCCTTCCCACCCATCTTCCTGGTTCTACACCCACATCTCTTACGCATCTTCTCCTGTCCCTGCCCCTGGTTCAGGTCCACGCACAGGGCAGAGGGAGCCAGGAACGCTGCTGTGCCCGTGGCCGGCCGAGCCGCTTCCCAAGAAGCCGCCAGCCCCGGGCACACTCACGGAGGAGACGAGGGAAGGACATCCCCGGGTTCGAGTTCTCTGCTTTTCTCCCTTTCCGCTTCACCCCATCTGTTGCTCCAGCCCCGAAACGGCTCAAACGGATCCCGCCTCCTTCTGAGCCTCCTGACGGCTCTTAGCCGAGGTGCCGCCCGGGAAACGGCACCTCGCTGATCCCAGGGGAAGTCCGATGCCGAAAGGGATGCGGAAAGTTGGGAGGCGGCGCCGGCCATGGCGGTACCCGGCAGAGCATCCCCCCGCTGCCGGGTACCGAGCGGCGGGAGCCGGCCCCGGGCAGGGAAACCGGGCACTTCCCGCGGGCACACTCACCCCGAGCCCGGGATTTACCCGTCCAGTTCCCCCCTCCCTCTCCGCACCTCTCGCGGGCCGGGGCCGCCCCGCACCCATCGCCCCGGGGGACCCGCAGCCCTTTTCCTGCCCTCCCCCGGCCGCTCCCGCACTCACCCGCGCCCTCGGTCTTGTCGGAGCCGCGGCTCCAGGTGAGCTGCCGGGTCTCCAGCTTCACCTGGAAAGTTTTCCGCTCGGGTCGCTGCGACTTCTTGGAGTAGAAGAGGGTCATGACCGTGCCCACCTCCAGGCTGCGGCAGAGCTGCACCGCCTCCGCCTCGCTCGGGGCCCCGGCGCCGCTGCCCGGCCCCGCCGCCATCGGCGCCGCGAACAAAGGGAACGGGAAAGGGAATGGGAATGGGGAGCGGGAGCGCCCGGAGCGGCGCCGGCTCCGCGCTCAGCACCGCCCGCCGCGCCCCACGGCCGGGGGGGAGCGGGAGGAGGGGACGGGGGAGGAAGGAGGAGGAGGAGGAGGAGGAGGAGCGAGGAAGAGGAGGGCAGGGAAGCGCCGGGAAAGGGGCGGAGCGCGGCCCCGCGGGGCGGGCGGGAGCGGGAGGAGGCAGCGGCGGGTGCTTGGGGCTAAGTGAGGGGTCCCAGGGCGGCATCAGCCCCGGCCCGTCCCGGGCAGGGTACCCACTGCCCCACAGCACTGGCACCCTCACCCTGCAGCACACCCGCAGCGTCGGGGCGTCCCGTACCCCACAGCACACCCAGGACACCGGGACACCCCGTGCCCCACAGTACGCCCCAGGCACTGGGGTACCCCCGCACCCCACACAAAGGTCCCCAATGTTCCACCTCGCACCCCCCAGCACAGGGCACTGTGGGGCCCTGGCCCCCCGCAGCAGTTTGTGGGGGGTCCTGCATGTGTGGCTCACACAGTTGAAGCCCGTGATTTCCCATCTACATGTGTGTATGTATGTGTGCATACGTATGTGTATGTGTCTGTGCATGTGTACATGTACACACACACGTGTGCATCCGCAGGCCCGTGACTGAGCTGCCCTTATCTCCCCCTCCGGCCTGCAGGCAGGTAGGGAAGGGGCGTCATTTGCTATGTCACCAAGTGCACCCCACACTGGGAGCTCCCTCTCCCCCACTGCTCCCAGGACACATGTGCACACACAAACACACACATGCACACACATGTACAGACATGTACACACACACATGTATATACATATGTGTACACACGTGCACAGACGTGCACAAACATGTACACACCTGTGCACAAACATGTACACACATGTACACACACATGTATGCACACACATACACCCATGTGCACAAACATGTGCACACACGTGTGCACACGTGCACAAACATGCACACACGTGCACAAACATGTACACACACGTATGCACACACATACACACATGTGCACAAACATGCACACACAACACATGTACACACACGTATGCACACACACACATGTGCACAAACATGTACACACACATGTACATACACATGTATGCACACACATACACACATGCACACAAACGCACACACACGTGTACACACCCACGTGCACACAACACACGAGGGCCCTACGAGGCCGTTTAGGATCCTCCCCGGTGTCTGGAAATGGACGAGACGAGGCCGAACACAACGGAGCTGCTGGTGCCCGGTGGTGGCCCAGGACCCTCGGCTCCGTTCCCGCCGGGCTGGCTCCCCGCTGGGCACCGGCCTCGCTCGGGACCGGCAGGAAGCAGCCGGCTCCCAATGGGCTGAGAACAGCCGAGCGCGATGGGCACCCCCTTGTTTTGGAGGGCGAAACCTGCGGAGGGAGCGTGGCATCGGCCCCGGTAACCGCTGCTCCCCAGCGCCTGATGGAGGGCACCCGTCCCAGCCCAGCCCAGCCGCGCCGCGCCGCGCCGGAGCCGCACATGGACAGGATGGGGTCCGCGCTGGAGGTTTCCTCTTCCCGGAGTTTGCCTTCTGAGCCCCGCATTGCCCCTGAGCGCCAAGAACCGCTTCTGCCGGCCCGGCCGGTGGCCCCGGCACCCACCAGGCTGCAGCGATCGCCCCCGGCCCCGCCGGGCACTGGAAACCTCCATCACCTTCCTGTCATCCCGCTCGGCGCTTCCCGGGATTTGCTCCGCAGCGGGGCAGACCCGTTCCGCTTCCGAACACGTTCCCCGGACCCACCGCACGGCGGGGTCGCTTGGGAGCCCCTTTGGGATCAGCTCCGGGAACAGGGGCTTCCCCCTCCGAGCGGCTCCAGCGCCTTCCTCTGCGCAGCGAGGGGCTCCCGGGCGGGCGGGCAGCGAACGGGACCGCGGGCCGGAACAGCCCCGGGTGAGCGAAGGGTCCCCACAGAGCAGCGCCCCCGGCTGGGAACGGCGGCTCCAGGGGGCCCTGTGCAGGGAGGAGGAGCCCGGGCCCCATCCCAGCATCGCGAACCCCCAGGAGCCGGGCAGCGCCCGGGTTCGGGTCCGCTGCTGCTCTGCGCTGCGCGCTGGGGACAAACGGGAAACCAGCCCCGGCGCTGGGGAGAGCTTCCCCTGGTCCTGCGCGGGGCTGGAGCTGCGGAACGCGGTGCCGGTGCTGTGTGACCGACACCGAGCAGCGCCCATCCACTCCTCCTCCCGGCCGGAGCCCGGCTGGTCCGTGCCCCTTGCTTCTGCTGCCTCTGGTCACTTCCTATTTCACTAAAGCAATGGTCTCCACTTCCTAGCACCTCAAAGGGCCCCAAATGCAGATGTTAAACCATGTTCCTGATGTTCCCACTAACCCACAGCAGCACAGCCAATGTGTCCCAGGCAGGATCTTTCCCCAGTGCCCGCAGCCGTGCTGCAGAGCGAGGGCAGGCAGCAGGCTGCTGCGCAAAGACAGGCTCCAGTTACGGACCAAGGAGATTTTTAGGAGGGAGTGAAATCCCTCAGGCAATTCCTGCTGGGGTGGGAACAGGAGCTGGGCATGCTCGGGGAGCCTGGAGGGTCAGGCTGCAGGTTTAGGGTGCATTATTCAACCACGCATCCCCTGGGGCTGCACAAACCAACCCAGAGCAGCGGGAGGGATCTGGGAGCCAGAGCTGAGGAACCACCCCCAGCCCCAGGTTACCGTGAGCTCAGGAGCAGCAGCAGGACCACGGGTTGATGCGATGCTCCATCAGCTCCTGGTGCCATGCCAGGGCTCCAGAACACCCCTCGTGTGATGCAGGACCAGCTTCTGCCCCCACCAAGGGTCTGGCTGCAAGAGCACAGAGCCACCAGGCCTGTCATCAGTTACCAAACCATGAAGGCAACATTGGGCAATGCTGCCCAGAGGAGCTGTGGCTGCCCCATCCCTGGCAGTGTTCAAGGCCAGGTTGGACACAGGGGCTTGGAGCAAGCTGCTCTAGTGGAAGGTGTCCCTGCCCGTGGCAGGTGGTGGAACTGGGCGAGCTTTAAGGTCCCTCCCAACCCAAATCAGTCTGTGGTTCTGTGATCAGCAGCCATAGAAGCATTTTCCCTCCCAGAAGCCTGGTGTTGTTTCGGATCAGGGGCATCCCTGCGAACCCGCGTGTCCCAACTCAACCTGCTGAAGCCCCCAGTGGGTCAATCCTACCCCCTGTTCCCTGCCATGGCCTCGACCTCCTTCCTGCAGCCCCGTGTGAAGGGCTCGGGGCTGCAGGGAGCCGAGGGGCTCGTGGCACAGACCAGCCAGACACCAGAGCACAGGTCAGTTGTAGGAATTTATTTTAAATAACCTACAGTTGATTAAAAGGGAATTCATGATAAAAATAGAAGATACTTGTTGAGGAAAGGCTGCGGGAGATGGGCTTCGCACACACACTACGCTAACAATGCCTCTAAGACTAATGATTATAGCAAAAAAAGGTTTCACATTAAAATTCTGCTTTTTAATTTTTTAAAATTTTTTTACACAATTACAAAAGAAAAAAATAAAAGCCCTAAAATCTCGATTTATTTCCTTTTTTTTTCTTTTTTTTTGTGGTTTTTTTTTTTTTTTGGACCAATGCTCATTTCCCTCGAAATTTATTGACCTGTGAAACATCTTTTTTACATGATAAAATCTTTCAAGTAAAAGAGGGGAGCGGGGCTTAGAAAAAAAGGGGGAAATAAAGGACACACAGTCTGACCGAGCTAAGTAGAGTCATGAAGCGTTCAGAGCGTGTTCAGAACAAAGGGTGACGGGAATGTCCTTTGCTGCCAATGTCACTTCTCCTCAGCCCCACACACGGCCCTTCCCCCCGTTCCCCAAAGCTACAACTGCTTGAAGAAAACAAAAACAACCCCCCCAAACCTGTTTAAATATTTTTAATAGACTTAAAAGAAATAAAAATTCACATTTGAGAAAGGAACACTCGAGTTGAGAGGCCGCCTTCCCGTCGCGCTTTGCTCTGAACACGGGAACACGGGGGGAGGTTTGGTATTCACGTGCCAATGGCACGACTGCTCCAAGTGACAAATTGGGAAGGATTTGGGAATTCCCATGACCATGGTGGCAGCTCTAAGAGGTGCGTTGGGTTCCTTACATTTTGTTTCTTTGTTAAATCCTGGAATGGGGCGGGGGGGGGGGGGGGGTCAGGAGTCCATTTTCTATTAAAATATAGAAGTTATTGCAAAACCCTAACTGTAAAAACGCACCAATATAACTGGAGTTTGTATACAGTAGCTAAAGAGTCCCACGCGCTCAGTGTGATGGTGAATTTGCCTGGCGGAAGGTTGACAAATCCCCCATCCACTTGCCCTGCCTCCAGAGAAAACCCACCCAAACCAGACAGATAGAATTTGGATCTCTGAAACATGTTAAATAAGTTGTCCATAGGACAACTGGCTCAGCAACTTTATTTCCAGGTTATGCTTTCTGCAAGATGTTGGCTGTCGTATCTGATGCTCACTTGCCCCTTTCCTCCCCCTTCCCCAGCATCCAAGGACAAGTAAGGCTCACAGTTTTATCAATCTCCCTAAAAACCAGGCTACTCCCTTTTCCCATAAAATTCAGCTCATTAAAAACAGGTTAAAACTCATAGTCCTCCTCTGCCATGTCGATAGCCCACGCAAACTTCTCCCGCTGGGTTTTGTTATAAATCTTCTCTATAGGAATTCCCCACTTCTTACACCTGCAGGAGAGGAGATGCTGTTAGAGTCACATCACACAGGCACATCCCAGTGCCCCAGCAACTTCCTAAGCTCTGCTCATCACAAACACCACCCAGCAGAGCACAACCAGACAGCTCTCCCACCCATCACCTCCCAGCATGGTGCTGGTGGTGGCTGCCATGTCACACTTGCATTAAGAGACTTGTAGCCTCCTAGAACCATCTGAAGATACAAGTGAAGGCCACAGAGGCAGAGGTGGCTGACAGCTCTGCCACAGCCCTTGCCTCCTAACTGGGGGGGACAACACAGAAGTGAAGGGATGGTTCCTTCCAGCACACCCCAGGCAGATTCTTACCAAGCAACAGAGATCCTGGGATCCAGATAGTTGAGTTTGGAGGTGCCCAAAG